ATACCTTATTTATGAAATCAATGAAAGAAATCATCAATTTCAGTATTCTGCTCTTAATATTATTCAAGTGATAGCAGAGTTCACTCTGACCACACTTTTTAAGTGTATGTTTTCTAATTTTTCACATTTATACAGATATATACTGATTATTTATTAGATAATATTAAGACAATGATACATTACAGCTGTGTTACTCTCACTGTGAGAGATATAAAGTTAATAATAAATATTACAAAGACTCTGAGAAGTAAGTATTTTAGAGATACTGCAGCTCTGCAATCTTGATTTTTTTTATTTTTATTTTTTATTTTTTTCTTTTTCTTTTATTTTTTTTTTCTTTTTATTTTTTTTTTCTTTTTTTATTATGATTTTTTCTTGTTTTTGTTTTGTTTTTTATTTTTTGTTTTTTTTTTGTATTTTATATTTTTTTCATAATTAAAATTATATGAATTATAATCTGTGTTGAGAAAAGTAATAATATTTAATAACACTCTCTGTTGAATTTTCAACAAATGAGTACTATGTTATGATATTATGTAAGTGAGAAATGATTTTATAATCTCATTTAATGTCATTCTCAATAATAAGATCAGAATAAAAATGTAACTAAGAATTCAAACATATTCTTTATCTGAGACTAGATTTTTATTTGAAAAGTGAATCTGAGACCTTTAATATTTGAAATAATGTGATTTGAAATCAATGTAATGAATACAAATCATGATCAGAAGTAATGCTTTTTAATAATATAATAACTGTAAAGTTTGATTCTGATCTCAGACACGGTTACACGGTCAGTCTACAGACAGTCTGATTTCATGACATTCAGTGAAGCAATCTTGTATATCTCTAAGTTTCAATGAGACTGAATATGTAACTCTTAGTGAGGCGGTCCGCGAAGTAACATGAATTCAGAATCTCATAATTGAGCTTGACTTCATCACTATATCTCTGATACAGATTCTCATTGATAATAAGAGTGTCATAGATCTCACAAAGATGACAGTCATTACAGCCTGAAGTAAGCATATTGACACACATTTTCATTTTTCATATTAATAGTTGAATCAGAAGATCATTGATTTAGAATACATTCTCACTGCTCAGATAACAGCAGATGAACTTACTAAATCTCTAAACACTGTGACATTTGTATAATTCATGATTTTACTAGGTCTTACAGGTGTAAAAGTTGAGAATGTTTAATTTTACATTTGTACTTGATTTTGACAGATTATCTTGATAATTTGAGTGTTTTTGTATGTGATTCTTGTTATCTCGAGAAGAGGTGTTGACTGTTACGGCTGTTGCGGTTAGCAATCTCACTAGATCATGTGATTCACTACTATATTATGTTCTTGTAGATAGATCTATTAATACAATCTTCAACTATTCTATAATAACTTTCTACAAGCTAGCAACCTTTCAATCAAGCAAGCTTTACATCTTTCACATATCATTCACAACTCAGCTTGAATACTATTATACATTTAATCTCTACATTTTTATCTTTCTACTGTGAATACTTCTAGTAGTTAATAGTATATATTATATGAAGCTACAAATATCTGAATAATTGTCTGTAAGTACTTATTCTTACATTTCAAGCTATATCAGTCAGCAATTCTCTGTTATAACTGACAGAACTAGAAACTTATAAACTTCAACTTCTGTGAACTCTACTGTAGATACTCAGAAGCAGTCATCTGAATCAAGAATAATCTCTATAAAAGAAGTTTCAGAGAACTTATTAATCACTTATAGAATATTATTCTCTACATCTATAATAGAGAAACTCTTTAAATTTATAAATAAATCAATCTTAGTAAAGAACATTCTTGAGTATCTTTTATAAAATCATGCTATTTTTCTATAAGAAATACTTACTATCTGTAAACACTCTTAAACTGAGTCTTTAGACATAATCTTCAGAGATATCTATAAACTGAAAAGAAACTTTCTTAAGCTGTAATTACTTAAGATTACTTACTGAATTACAATCTATAAAAGCTTTTACAAGTTTGTATTTAAAATTGACGCACAAGCTCAGCTGTATGATATAAAAGATAAAGAAGCTGTTATCTATATAATGACAGATCTCTACTACACTGAAGTCAAGAACTGACTGAATTATTTAAAGAATGATTATAAGAGATCTCACTGATCTGTTCTCAAGATCAATCTACAGAATAAGTTAAGAGACTCTGTAAGTCAGACAGAGAATATCTGAGCTGTAATTATTAATATTAGAAAAAGAGATGAGAAATCTGATAAAGATTACTTACAGTACTTTATACAATTATAATGTAAATTAAGATCTGTGAAAACAGAATTCTGAAATAAGACCTGAATAATGATGTTTATAAAGAGACTGAATAAAGATATATAGAATAAGCTTATTAAGTAAGACTCTAAGTTCTTGAGTCTGAAGAAACTGATAACTTTTATTTATTACTTATAAATCACTATGAGAGTTACAGACTTATAAAGAGCAGATTATTAATCAGCTCTATAAGAGATAGAATAACAGAGAATAGATTTATCAGAAAAAGATAATAAGATATAGAGAGATTCATATCTAACTATTAAGTAGAGAGAGAGAGCTTCATAAGCTTCTATAAATAGAGTATATAATAGAAAGATTAAAAAAAAGAATCTCTATTTTATCTATTCTAAATCAGAATATCTCTGCATAAACTGTCTGAATAAATTAAAATAAAAATTTGAGAAGTCATAGACAGAGTTAGTAACAGTCTTTTTAATAGTCTTAAAGCTGATATCTGAATCTATTGCTTCTCTGATAAAAATACTTACTTATAGAAAGAGATTATACTGTAATACTACTACTCTGTAAGTATGAAAAGTATTGATAAACTCAGAATCTCAGATCACTGTAGTGTTTCTAAAGCTTACAGAATAAATGAGCTGAATAATGAAAACTGAAAATCTACTCTTATAATAAGCAGAATACAAGAACTCAGATCTAAGAGTTGAGAGACTTATAAGAGTTATATTTAAATTATAAGATCTCTCTGAAATCTGAAGAAGATTTGTAAAAACTGTGATTATTACAGATATCACAGATAACATGTACTTAAGACTTATATAACTTTAAAGATACAATTTATAAATAGCTGTTTATAAGTCAGATTTATACTTCTGATCAGTGTTAACAGACTTACTTATAGAGATAGAATCAGTTAATACTGTAGAGTTAATTAGAGAAGATAAGCTCATCTATATAATAACTTTACAAATATCTGAGAACTTCACAGTCATGAAAACTGAGCTTCAGATATCAGAGAAATACTGAGATCTCACAGAGATATTCAGCTCAGTAAAGACAGCTGAGCTTTCTTCTTACTGTGAAAAGAATCTGATAATAGATTTAATAGAAGAATAGAAACTCTTCTGAGAATCAATCTATAAGCTCTTTCATTATAAGACAGAGATCTTACAGGTCTATATAAAGAAGAATCTGAAGAATAACTTTATTTAATCTTTACAGATCTCTACAGAAGCCTCTGTGATATTTATAAAGAAGAAAAATAAAGATTTCAGATTATATATAGACTATTACAATCTGAACTTTAAGATAATAAAGAGTCACTATTTTCTATCTCTGATTGAGAATGTAATCAATTATCTCACAGAAGCTGTTATATTCACACAATTAAATATGATTAATATATATATATAGCTGTGAATACAGTCTGAAGATGAATAAAAGACTGTCTTTAAAACTGTACTAAGATTATTTGAATATCTAGTGATATCTTTTAATTTGACTAATATCTCTACAGTATTTTAGTCTTTTATTAATAAAACACTTCATGTATATCTGAATGTCTTTATAATAATATATTTAAATGATGTGATAATGTACTCTGCAAAGAAGAAAGAACACACTGAGTATATACAAAGTGTATTAAAAGTCTTAAATAAGACAGAACTGTATATTAAGCTTACAAAGTATAACTTCAGTGTCTGTCAGATTAATTTTCTAGAATATGTAATTATCATAGATAATATTCAGATGAAATCTTTGCAGATTAAGACTATTCTATTATAACTAAAGTTAACTAGTATTTATAAGATTCAGATCTTTCTGAACTTTGTGAATTTTTATAGATAATTTATCTTTATATTTATCACGTCTCTGACCGCGTCAAGGCCCCGCTGCGGTTTCACACGGCTCATCACTTTCATGCGGATGATTCCATTCATCCCGCAGGCCGTCTGAACCGGTTTTCAACCGCTCTATGACATTATTCAGATATATCATAGAAAGATCTGATTGATGAATATGAGAACCCCGCTTCTATATGAGATCAGCAGATTACTTTTCCTTAGCAGTGAGACACTGCTGAGGTATCACTTCAGCTATTCTTGCTTATAAAATGAGAGAAGGTATTCACTCATTGTCTATATAGAATAGCTAAATGCTGACTCTCTATGAAAGAAGTCAGTGATTTGTTTTTCTTCTACTGAAATATATATAAGAGTTACTGTATATCTCATACAATCTTCTTAGTATACTAAGTATCATATCTGTGATATTCTCACAATAACTCTGTAGTCTACAAGCTCACTATTCAAGCAAGATAGTCAAGCTCACTTATACAGCTTCTTAAACAACTATCTCTATATAATATCACTGACTAGTCATCACTTCAGTTTCATTATATTACAATTTGAATTACTCAACCTGATTATAAGTTTGAATCAGTCAAGCTCTAACAGACTGATATGATCTCATACACTCACACTGAGACTGACTCAATCTCACTCTCTGAGAGAAACACTACATCATTTTCTAGAGTGTATACATCTCTACTCTGACAGAAATCTGAGATTTCTGAACTCACTGCACATTTTGACATGAGCTCTTCAATCATTCTGTCACTGTCACAGCCTCTACACATCTACATCTATTATAGAGATAGAGAGATTAAGATTGAAGATTCTTCAAGATATAAGAAAAACATCTTGTCTGAATTTCACAGCTTTATCTGTACTCTTGCAGCTACAACAACCCGCTCCACCACGAACTCGCTCGATTTTTCGAATAAGAACCCGCCGATAGATCCATCGAAAAGCCCTCGATCATACGAGCATTTTGACCCCATCGCCGACCGCATACCCCGTGTGGTGGTGGAGTTATCCAGCCAAACGTGAACCGGACGTTGTTCGAAGCTCCTGTGTGGGATTATCCCCCGTTCTCCCCTACCACACCACAACCCCGGGCCAGAGTGCCATACAAATTGTAAGGTGAAGTGACCTAGCCATATGCACCAATCTTCTCGATTTTGGAAGACCCCCGACCTGTAGTTGTGGAGATATCCGAGGAGCGACCTCCGCGAAAACCCTGTCCATCTTTGATGTTCCAAAACACCAACGCCAAGTCTCACCCTCGTACCGCCCTTCCCAATCTGGCCCATCCCCGGCAGAAAAATACAAAAAGATACCTCAGCGATAATATCAAGCACATAATCAACAGACTCTTCTGAAGTGCAACCTCCACAGTCCGCCGCCAGTGTATCTAGACTTCAACACCAAGTCTCACCCCTGTACTACCCCTCTCAATCTGGCCCATCCCCAGCAGAACGATACAAAAAGATACCTCAGCAACAGTATTCAATACATAATCAGTGAACAACAAGTCAACAGCACATCAACAACTATAAAATCAGTATACCCCAAGGTCTGACTGAGCCTTTGATCCCTGCACAGTGAGATATATTAAATCTAGTTTTAATACCTCAATATTCAATAGATTCTGCAAGAGATTGAGAACAGCAACACTAGGTTTCTATTGAATTTGAGAATTAACTCTATATTGATATAATCATTGACAAAGTCTTCTATTTTAAGATATAAATAACCAGTTCCTCTACATCCCGCTGGCAATATTTATATTATTATATAGAAACAGACTTATATTCTCTATAATATCAAGACCCTGAAGAGGGAAAGTCTTGATAGAGAGTATACAGTAGTGCATATCTTAGCAGTTTCTATCTCATTCTTCTGCAGCAGTTAATGCAAAAAAAAAAGATCTTAGAAATAGTTTTTTACTTCTCTTGAAAAAGTAAGATGTTTTTCTCTGAGTTTTATACAATATTCTTACAAAGAATTAAAAACAGAGTTGTTTTCTGTCATAATTTCATATTCTTTTAAGTAAGAATTACTTTTTCAGTGACTGAAGAGCTTTCATTAATACTTAATTCTTTTTTACACTCTTTATTAACTGATTTGAGTTGTACACTTGTTATGTGAGAAGAATTGAATGATTTAGAATAAAATTGAATAGTTTTAATCAATTTCTCTGCAAAAAATTGATTTATTTTTTGTCAGTTTTTCTCTCAAAAACTGTCATATCATCTGATTTATTATCAATTGATATCATACTTTTCCTCACTGTATCTCAAGAAAGAGATTGTAAAGATTTTATTGATTTATCTTAAAAATCAATTTTAGTTTATTAGATTCTCTTCAAAAATCTAATCTAGTTACTGAACTAGTGTGAAAAAAATCAGGTGTTTTATACACAAAAGTCTTTTATTCTTCTTTTGAAACAGTCTGACCAACTTTTCAATTGAAAACAGACTTAGAAATATCTCAATTGAAACAGTCTGATCAACTTTTCATTGAGTGAAAACAATGAGTTCAAAAATATACTCAGTTAATATGGAAAAAGATGCTTTCTCAAATGCTATTTCTGAGATTGAAATTCTGAAGAGAAGAAAGAAAGAAGAAATAGAGAAACAACAAGTTCTTGAAATACAGAAACTTGAAAAAGCAAGCAAGATTCTTGAAAAGCAGTGTCTGAGTGAGATGAATGAAGAAGTTCTGTTAATTCTTCATGCTCAGGCCAGACAACTACAGAAGATGATCAAGTTTAAACTTAGAATCTCAAACACAGTTCAAAAAACCTTGAAAATTCCTAGTACAATCACTGACTCTTCATCTTACTCTTCTTCTTTCTTTCTTCCTACTTCTTCTTCTTCTTTGAATCAGAAGAAAACATATGCTCAAGCAGCTGAATCTGCTGTCTCTAAACCTGCTGTCTCAAAATCTGCTCAAAATCCTGAGAAAACTGAGAAGAATACTGCTCATGTCTCTATTCATAGAAAAGTGAAAAAGAAAATGCAAAAAGAGAAAAACTTCCAAATCTCTAGAAATAGAAGACTCATTCTCAAAGTCTCAAATCAGAACATTCTACAAAGAAACAAGCTAAACTCAAATCTTATTTTCAGAATCAGAAATGAAATTAATCAGCAGTTCTTTTCTCAGTTGATGACTGATATTGAAGTTCATAAATCAGTTATAGCTTCAATTGAGCCATCATTCTTTGAAAACTCTATTATTCTGACTACAATGCCTGAATTCAGTGCTGAATTCCTTATTCAGAATGAGAATCTCTGAAAGTCAGCAGTAGAATCATTGCTAAACATAATAATTCTATCTGAAAGAGATGAAAAGTGAGACAAATTCATTCTTCATGATATTCCAGTTGAAATTTTTAACTGTGAAGAAGGAATGCTACTTCTCAAAAATGAATTGAAAGAATACAACTTCATTCAACTAAGAAAGAAGCCTGTATGACGCCCCGGTGGCCGAATGGTTAATGCGGCCACCCGGTAACGCCTTGGCGTGGGAAATCAAGGTGTGTGGGTTCGAAACCCGCAGGGAATACATTAAATCCGGAACTCAAGCACCTCAGGTTTCTAATAAATACAGAGGTGTACAAATCGCTCCAATAAATCGCTCTATGTTCCTGGGCTGGGAAGTTATTATCGTATGTACCTAATTGTCACTCCTTTGTATTTCCTATGTTCTTGTTATCTTGGTGTGGTCTCAACACCTGTATTTCCTCCTGTATAACCAACACTTGGCCTGTATTTAACATCACGCAAGGACTCATCATAAGCTCCGCTTGCATATGAGTATAATGGAAGAATAATAATAATAATAATAATAATAAGCCTGTATGACTAAATTCAATTGAGTTCAGACAAAGCAGGAGAAATGCCTTTGTTCTAGTATATATAAAAACACTTGAACAGTCAAAGATCTCTGAAGTAAGAGTAGCAGGTTTGAAAATGAGAGTTCATGAATACAAAGACTCAAGAATGAATCTCAAAGCTCAAACACAGTGTTCAAACTATCAAAGATATGAACACTTTGCAATCTCATGTTTTAGAGACTCAAAATGTGCATTCTGTGCCAGAGATTACAAAACTAGTGAGCATAAATGTGAAACATGCTCAAAAAGAGGTGAAATTTGTCAACATACTCTGCTTAAGTGCTCTAATTGCAAAGAAAAACATGCATCTAGCTCAAAAGAATGTATGTTTGCTTCTAGAACTCAAAAGAACTGAAGAAAAGATGAAGCTCAAAGTCAATCTAGAACTGAAGAGAAGAGTCAAGCCAGTAAACTCACAACTGCAAGCTCAAAAAGAAGAAACTCTCAACTATCTAAGTCTTCAAACTTCAACTCTTCAGCTAAATGTAAACAGAACTTGAATTCTCAAACTTCTGTTAAGATTAGAGAATTGAGAAATGACTCTGATGATAAACTAGATATAATGCAAGCAGTTGAGATTTCTACTTTTCAGAACAGTTATAATCTACTATCTGATGATAGTGATTAGATTCTACTCTACTCTCTTTTAGTATGAATATACAACAAAAATAACAAAAAAAGTTTAAAAACTCTTCAAAAATCACATTTATTCAAAATAATGTGAATAGAAACTCAAATTGTATTTATTCTTGTCTTCAAATTGCATTTGAATAAAAAGTTGATTTTATACTGCTTCAGGAGCCGAATTTTGATGCTGAGCAAAAATATATCATTTCTCATTCAAGCTACTACTGCTTTTTACCTCAAAAGTCTGAGATAAAGTCAAGAGTAGTGATCTATGAAAGAAAGAGATCAAGATATCAATTTAATCTAAGATTTGATATCATGTCTGACCCTGATATTCTGGTGAGTGATATTATAGATAAAGAAAATGAGTTTGATACTATACAGCTCATAAATATCTATAATGAAAAGTCATTGAAGAAAAATAATAATATCTGGACAATTGATAGAGAATTTCTGAACATAACTTCATCAAGAAACTCTATAATTGCAGGAGATTTCAATACACATCATCTCTGATGAAATTCAGAATGCAAGAGAGCAGTGAGAGCTGATAATCTAATTGAATGAACCTTTGAGTATTCAATAGATTTGATTAATAAGTCTGATCAACAAACATTCTTTAGAAAAGGTATGAAACAGAAGTCTATTATAGATCTAACATTCATATCACAAAATCTAATGAAAAGAAGACTTGTAAACTGATTTATTGATTCAAATGAGACATCAGGATCAGATCATGAGATTATTCAATTTGATATTGAACTGAGTGAAAAACAAATGAGTGAAAATCCTCTTCTCTCTAATCAGTATAACTTTGAAAAAGCTGATTGAAAAGCAGTTGAAGAAAGCATAAAACTGTTAAAATCTGAAAGACAGAATGAGCTATATTGGAATTCTGGTCAAGATATCTCAAATGAAATGCTTGAGAATAGAGTGAAGCTTATTACATCTATCATTCTAACAAGTGTTAGAGATAATATTTCAAAAAGAAAATCTTCTGAGTATTCAAAACCTTGATGAAATGAGAATATCTCATCTAAAAGAAAAGAATTAGCTACTGCTAGAAGAGATTGAAAGAATGATGTAATATCTGATGAAGAGTTCAAAACTGTTAGAAATGAATATTTTTCAGATATTAAAAGAGCTAAAACAGACTGCTGGAATAAATTTCTTGAAGAAGCACAAGAGAAGGAAGTTTTTAAAGCTTTTAACTATACTAAAACAAGAAGTGTAGCAAAACTTTCAGCTCTAGAATATGAGTTTCAGAATGAATCATATACAGCAAACTCTTTTAAGAAAAAATATCAAGCTTTCATGAGAATTCTCTTTCAGAACTCATCAGATTCAGATTCAGATTCAGAGAAAGAGAATATATCACTTCTCAACTACATTGATGAAAATGACTGAGAATGGCCTGATCTTACACAAGATGAATTAGAGTCAGCTATCTTCTCAAGTTCTGTTAAAACTGCTGCAGGTCCTGATTCAATTAATCACTTGATTATTCAAAATACATATTTCTACTTAAAGAATGAATATTTTGAGCTCTTTTTCAATCTCTTGAAAAATAGATATCATCCTGAATGCTGGAGAGAAGCCACTGAAGTGATTCTTGCAAAACCTAATAGAAAAACTTCAATTTCTAAGTCATATAGAGTAATATCTCTATTGAACTGCCTAGAAAAGGTTTTAGAAAAGATAATAGCTACTTAACTATCTTTTATAAGCTCTATAGATGATTCTCTTTTATTCAGTGAATAAATGAGAGATAGAAAACAGTGTTCTGCAATTGACACTGTTCTCTCAGTTGTTCATGATATTCAAATAGCAAAGCATGAGAGTCTGGTCTCAACTGCAGTTTTTATTG